GAAAATGACTGTAAAAACTGTGGCTATTACTTTTAAATATTATAATTTTATCTTAAAATGTAAATTATGAAAAATTTGTATTTGGTAATGATAGAAAGACAAAACTCGAACAAATAACTATTTTATTTAAGATAAAAAAATAAAACTGAAAATAGCATACGATAAATTATTTTTGGGGTAATTTCTTAGAGCATAGGGTAAATTTACTTTGTATTTATAAATATGGTTTAATAAATACGATTTTTGTTATATTTATTTAATTTCTATATATTTTATGCATTAAAAACATTTGAAAACAAGATTTTTTATACTGATTTTTTTGTTTTTTATTTAATGGTTTGATTGTTTTAAAAATAGTTCAATTGTTAAAGCATATACTTTATTCTGGAAATAATTTAGTTGTTTAGAGTGTAAAAAAAAGATTAACTATTTTCTACAGCGCAAATATAGCCTTTAAAATCTGATTGGGCTGTTGAAACTGTAAAACTCGTTAACAATCCTTACAGTTTTTAAAGTCTTTCAGCCAATCAGCCCCATTATATTGTTTTATAACTGTTTTATAACTTTTGAGAGATATTTTGACAAAATTACAAGTATGATTGATTTATACACACCTTCACTTGCCACGAGAATTACTTTCATATTCAACGAAATTATCCCAGAATGTGTAAAATAGGGTTAACATATCCAAATCAAATTCTACATAACAACATCTCAGCTCAAAAATCCCTCTTTTAACTCGCAATGTGTTTTATCTGTATATATATGCATCTTTCTTACAGCATTCTGTCCTGAAGATCGCTGAATATACCAGAGGCCAATGTACCGAGCTTCTTCTTCGTTTCTTCTGCAAAGTCTGCGAGAGTCGAAATATCTTGTTGAGCCTGTGACAGAAACAAAAATATCAGTCAAATCGACATTGCTTGAGAGCTCGAGAATCTGTGAATCTACTTGAAACCTACCTGGAAAGATAATCGGTTGATGATATCGCTAGCTGTGATATCAATGTTGGAATCATCTTGTCCGCGACCAAAAAGATCAGAGCTTGAAATAGCTGCTGAGCCCTGTTAGTTTCGCAATCACGTTAGATACAAAAGACGATACTAAAAATAGAATTTGATTGGTTTTTTTGGGGGACATACCGAGAACTTTTGAAGGGTAGCTTTTGATTCCAAATCTGCATCTCTGTTCTGATTTCCAAAAAATTGAGCAGAGGAAATCGATTTTGCGTTTGAAAACTTCTTTCTTGCTTCATCTGTTTCTTCAACCTAAGTACGAAGATAAAGTTAAGTAAGAGGACTTGAACTATCTCTTTATATGGTTCTGTTGAAAAATGCAACTTTCCTTTACCTGAACTTTGGATGAGCTTGAGCTTGATTTCTTGGGGAAGGCACTGTCCATTCCAAATTCATTAAAGAAATTCGACGACTTTGGTGGAGCAACATGGCTAAGCACTCGTGTGCCACTTTGCTCACCAGATTGTTCCTCATCGAAGTACTCAAATCGAGAGACAAATGATGATCCAGCTGATGATGTGTTGTTAGTTGAAGAAGCAGCAGGAATCATAGGTACAGGTTCTTCAGGCTTCTGCTCATAGAGGTTTTCTTTCGGCTACATAAACAATAGAGACTAGTCTAATCAAAACCAAGAGAAGAAAGACAAGCTTTTCATTCTTTATAACATAGAACTGAATGTTTACCTTAGTAGTAAGCTTACGAGCACCAAGACCACCAGTCTTCCCTGTCTTTCTCGGAACAAGAGGTTTCTTAAATGTACTAGCCACAACTGTCTGAGAAGCTTTTGGTGAAGAAGCGACAACTGTCGTTGCTTCTTGCTTAACCGGAGAACTCTCTTTTGTTGGAGGCTCAGAAGAAAACCCGTTATTAGATGATTCTGCTGACTGAGAAGTAGCAACAGAGGACAACATCGATAAACCAGTATCTTCTGCCATGGTTTTAGCAACTTCCTTAACAAGAGTTTGTCTATACAAATCAGCAGCTCTTGAAGTGTACTTAGCCTCGATTTTGCCACCGTCGTTCCATCCGTGTTGCTTGAAAAACACCTGCGCTCGGTTGTTCCCACCAAACATCATTGTTCTTAGCTGCTCAGGACTCCACGAGTCTAAGTTTGTCGACCTGCACAGAACCAAGAAAACAGTAAACTAAAGGTCCATAGAATCCAAAGGAAACATGCAAATGCATATCAAGAAAATCATCTTAAAATCAACCACAAGATCTACAACAAAGTAATATGCTATAAATAGAATGGTCAAAGGGAAAGAAAACAAAGTCAACGTCTTCCTGCACAATCACACCTTAAAACCCAGACATTTGAAGCAAGAATTAAGCCCAGAGAATTCAATTAAACACAGAATCCAAAGTTTATACCTGACGAAGCTAATATGAACACCGAGACGTCGATGAACAGCTGAACAATCGATACATAGAAAAACACCGTAAGTAACCGAAGCCCATGTTGGATTCTTCGCACTACAATCGAAGCACACCTAAAAAACCCAAATCAAAAGCGATACAAATCAGAAACCAATCGGAGGATTAGATCGTATAAGGTCCAGATCTGATCGAAACCACACCTAATTCGAACTGGGAATCTTCAACTTCAACCAAACAAACACTTTGGGAAAATTCATACGAAGAAAAAATGGAGAGAAACCTTACCTTGTTCTCGGATTTTGATTTCAGTTTTCTGAAAACAACATTCTTATCGGTGAGATTCTCAGTCGCCATGATTGGATTACAAATCTAGAGGAACTATCCAGAGATTTGGAGACGAACACAGATTCTGGAAATCTGAATAAATCGACTCTTCAAAAGCAAGGAAATTATTTTTTCTTCGAAAACTTGTAAAGGTATTTTTATTATTATATTTACAGGATGTGACATTTAATCTTAATTTCTTTAAGGCTTAACATTAGATTAGTGGGTCAAAACTAAATTTAATGGGCCTATTTAGCCAATTGTAAAGAAGCCCATCTTGAATTACTCTCATTTTGACAAACACAAGACGACCACGGTAAAGAAGCCTATGAATAGATTAATTTGCTCAAATATTCGAGACAATTGTAAAAATTTCATTTTTGGATTCTGCATTTGTAAAAATGTCATTATGCATTGTTTATTTATAAAAATACTACTAATTATGAATTTTTAAAACTTAAATTTTAAAATTCTAAAACACAAAGAATATTTTTATCCCTAAAAACCCTTAAACCCTAAAAACTAAATAATAATACAAAATAGTTAATCCAAACATAAAATGATATAACAAAAAAATGATATTTTTGCAAAATTTTTGAAAATGTGGTATTTTTGAAAAGTGGTATTTCTCAAAATTTCTCCAAATATTTTCATATTTCATTTACCAACTAAATGTTTTATAATTTTTATGCACATACTTTTAAAATGACAGAAAAATAAATTTCACGCGTAACAAAAAATATTTTTGGTGGACAGTGTGTATCACATGTTTGTACTTGTACAAAACAAAATAGAGAAATTTTCAGAAATACTACTTTTAAAATATCATTTTCTAAAAAAATTACTTTTTTTAAAAAAAATTACTTTTTAAAAAAAAAATTGCAAAATGCTATTTTTTTCAAAATTCTTTATTCAATATATCATTTATGTTTGAGTTAACTATGTAGTATTAGAGTTTAGTTTTAAGAATTTATGGTGTGTTAGGGTTAAAACTTTTTTTAAGATTTAAAATTATTAGATTTATGGTTTAAAAATCCTTAATTAGTGAAATTTTTGTAAATGAATAACATATAATAGCATTTTTTAACCTGGATACATCAAAAATGGTATTTTTCAAATTGTCCCAAACAAAATATAAAGAAATTTTGAAGAATATCATTTTTGTGATATCCCAACAAAAAAAATAATCTTTGTTGAGTTTTATTTAAAATTAAAGTGGAACAACTCCTGTAACCTTTTAACTTGATACATTGTTTCCGTAGCATGTTTATGTCTTGTAAAACTGGCAAAATCCTAGAGATTAACAAATATTTTATCATGTTATGTCTCTGTAAGTCTATGATCAAACTCAAACATCATCCACGAGAAACACGTGAACTGGAGCATTTTAGCCATCGTGATTAAACCATTCAATATTGTGTATTATCTATTGTCCTTTTCACTGAATACTTGTCTTCTTTTTTTGTGGATATTAAATTTTATTAAGGAATGTCAATATCAATGTGTGATCATATAAAATTGTATTTATATCCATTTAGATACCAAATG